TCCCAACCAAATCTCTGTAGTGTATTCCTCACAGAGATGGCACTGTGGGGGCGCGCATTATCATCAAGATATCATTATCATCATCAGTTTGCCCGGATATGTCCATCCAACGCAGCAATAACATCAGGAGTGATGACATGGTGTGCATTTCCTAGGCCAGCATCATCTTGCAGTGACATATGTCCCTCTCAGAATCTCTTATGCAAAGACAGAAAACGTAAATGTGGCATGCTGTGTTCGCTGTAAACAACAGACATGTGACTATAAATTTCTAGTCCTCCAACTCCCACAGCAGCCAAAAAGGGCGCTACACTTTGCTGTTCTTCTTTACCTGCCTCTATTACTGATGTTGGATGAAGACACCTAGCGCTAACCATATTTCCAGCACAAAAAACAAACGACTAGTGTGCAAGGGCACGTCACTGTGCTTTCCGGAGTTCCCACCAGAAGTTCGTACCATAAGCAAATTCCAGTGTTACTAAGTTGCGCGTCATGTGAGTTATGCGTGGTGACCCATTTTCATTTGACTGCCCCTTATAAAATAAAAGTGTGTACAGTAAGTCACTGACTGCATGTAATGAAAATGTCGTTGTTTGCTTCACTTAACAGCAGAGCTGCAGCTGAGCAGAGATATGTGTGAATGGTAAGTTGCAAAGGATATGGAAGGCTCTTACCAGACTGTTACTGGTGGTCATGACAAATGCAATGAGTAAACCAAAACATGAAAATATGACAATAAGCAATGGCCCACTTATATTCAAGAGGAGACGGGTATGAATATTCTTGGGAAGCTGCTGCCTCCATTTCAGGCAGACTACCCATAATATCACACCCAGAAGACAGTAATCTACATATTCAGTGGATGTTCAGAAACTGGCTCAACAAGTCGAGGTGTGCTTTCAGTGAGATGGCTGTCACACTGAATTTCCCTATAAGCACTTAAAGTTCACATTTTAGTGCAACTTTAGGTTACTTTGTATTTTGGACTTCTTTATACAGGCTCATTATGCCACATTTTAAAACAGCTATTCTCAATCTTTTTGGTGTGTGTACCAACATCCACTTCATAAAAAAAAATCTAATGTCCAATGTACATTTTAGTATGGATCCTCTGAAATTAGAGTTTAACTGAATATGCAGATCATTAACTTGAAAAGTTCTAAAACGACAGTTTCACTACATTCTCTGTCGAGTGGTGAACCTCTGGTCCACACGGTACATACACCTTAGGCATAGACATGCATTTTCGATAACATATTTACTAAAGCCAGTAATAAAATCCACATCTAAAATTTATGTAGGCACATTCAAGTGACTTATGTGGCTGCGCCATAGCTAAAGCGGTTAGTCGCTGGCTTCCCACCATGGCGGCCCAGGTTCGATCCAAGGTCTGGTCAAGTGGGAATTGTGGTGGACAAAGTGGCCCTGGGGCAGGTTTTCTCCGAGTACTTCGGTTTCCCTTGCCAATTTTCATTCCACCAAATTCTCCATCATCATAATCACCTGGGGCAGGCTTCAATAGACCAAAAGTGGCCGCCGTGCAGAGTGGACCCAGTTGGACTACAACCCCAACTAAGCGAATTTAATTTTTTCATGTGATTTAATGGCTGCTTTGGAGTGGGAAAACAAGTCAAGGCCTAAGATGATGCTCAAGCCTGCACTAACAGATATTCTGTGTATACATTGCATAAATTCCATTCAGTGTAGTAAATTCACAAAGTGTGCATGGTGCCCATGAAGTACAAGTGCCCTTACCCGGACAATGTGTGAGTGAGGGTAACTGCAAAATTACGGAGCAGCAATTGTGGCGCCCACTCAGACAGACCAACGCCTCCTCTCATTGAGGAGGAGAGCATATTTAAAAAACACATGAATGGTTTTGCAAAGAACAGAACTTCAACTATATGTCCTGATGGCGCCTGAAACCAAGAACAACTTTGCTGTTGAAAACCAGCAGCAATTTAGTGGATTATACTGGACAAATGACTTACACGGACTGGACAGCCAAGGGTTCAAATTTTGATTCCAGGTAGGGGTATGAATTTTCACCAGTCCTGGGACCCACCCAGCCTCCTATCCAACTAGTACTGAGGTCTCTTCCAATGGGGGTAAAGGGGACCGGGGATGTGAAGCTGACCACTCGACTCTGTCTAGTGCCGAAGTGAAGAATGGTGGGGCTATGCTTCCACTGCTCCATGTTTTCATGGCATGGTGCTTAATTACATAAGCACATGGACAACTTTACCTTTTCCCTTAACTTACGTGAAGGATGAATGCCATTCAACCCAACATTGTCAAGGAGGAAGAGCCATGCGTATCTGGCCCATCTTGGAAATGTTAGCATATGACACGACATGCAAACAGTAGGAGCACAGTGAGAGTGAAATGGACACAATCTCCACATCCTTCTGTTCCACATGGTTTATATGAGTAATATCCAGTGCTTGAGGTGGAATGAAAATAGAACCGGTATGCCATTCCGCCCCACCTCAAGCCCTGGGTATTGTACATTGCATTTACTGCCAAAGAAGTAACGGAATACTTTTAAGTCATTTAGAAAAGAACTGGGATGCCATCTCGCCACATCCCGCCCCACCTAAAGCCCTGGTAATATCTATGCCAAAAGCAGATGTGAGCTGATTAAATACTGCGCCCCAGGAAGTCTGACCCTGTATCGACTGTACTGTCCTCACATTATCTCAGTATTCCCTTAATTAGCAACATACAGCATGACAACATATAGGTACACTCATGGCACAACCAGACTTCATTATAATCCAATTCAACAATGAACATTACAGACAATTTGATGATGTGATGAGTATATTCGTGCAGCGGTTGCTCTCTATACTCATATCCAAACACTCCAGTCGATTATCAGTGGGGACACCGGCTGTACCGAATGACTCTTTCCGGGTTATTCTTTAGTTACTGCAGGGAAAAATATCATGACTGCCTTGTTTCAAATCTCTCAAAGTTAACCACTTCTGAAGCATCATTCCAACCAATGCTATGTAGCATAAAATACTAAGAGCATAATAAAATAAACCCTAAATAGCACACGCTCTCCAGAAAATTAATACAGTTTTAGGATACCTTTAGATTCTAAAACATCTGCAATCGCTGGATTTTTGGACTCTGTCCTTTGTCCTGCTAGAACGATCTCTTTCTAATGGACCCAGCAGAGTAGTTATGCCCACCTCCCGCAAGAGAGGACTGAAAGAGACACAGTTTCTGAAATGATACATTCTCTTGTTTTTAGACCACCAGACAATGAACACAATCCAAAAACCCTGTAAGTTATTCTGAGTTATATAAAACATGAATTTTAAATTCTGAATTTTGGTGAATGAAGCATAAGTCAGAAACATTTCTTTTTTCTCCTTCAGTTAAGGTACAGGCTTCCAGGTCACGTTCACTGTGTCACTGCTACTTTGCCCATCATCTTTCTCGTTCACATTTCTTATTCTCCGAGGTCTGAACGTTTATTTGTCTCTTCATCTGTCCTCTACACGTGGCTCTGCATTGCTTTCTGCATGTCAACCCCTCTGCTGCATCAGCTACACCAAAATCCTGTTTAGATGTGCACAGCATGTGTTCACAATGTGACATAAAATTTATATACATTAAAACAGCCTCTGAGCTAGTGGGATGAGAGGTCTAAAAAAATAACAACTTCCATTAATGATAACTAACTCAGCTCCCTGGAGTTACTTATTTAGCAGAAATTAAACTGGAAACACATACTGCAAAAATAAATTTCTTGGAAGAAGACAAGCTTTGCTTCAGTCTGGTGGGAATAGTGTGTTTCATAAACTGACTGGCTGGATGTGAGTCACTGTCCTCGTGTGTATATATATATATATATATATATATATATATACATAACAGACTGATCTCCCCCAATATAT